GCTTTGTGTTCAGATGATCCCAAAACACTGAGCTGCAGACTTTTCCTTTCTAATCCAGCTACCTGTTCCTCAGCACAAGCTAGGCCTGGAACTAGACTCCATTTTTATCCCAAACCATGGAGTCGAAGAGTGACAACTCTTGGATTCAACAGGCCTGACATGTTGCTTGCATTTCAGCCTCTGGCCATTTCTCCCACCATCTACTCAAAGCCACTCTCAGGTCTACTTCCAGGCAAGGACATATATTTGCCTTTCCCTGGTTGTTTTCTCTTGTAAATCCAAGAAGGCAAAAAAGCAATTTGCATGAAGCAGTAGGATGGCAGTAGGTTTCCTGGCTGGCAGGAACAGAAAATGAAGGAAAGTTCAGTTCCTGAATCCCCAAATCAGATCCCAGAGAGCCTCGTCCCAGAAACACCCAAACTTCCTGACTCCCAACCATGCTCCAAACTCTCCATCACCAGCGATGCCTTACCACCACGCCTTCTCTCAGGCAGGCCAAATAATACCCGTCCTCAGTGGCAATGCATAGGGGGTACACGTGCACACCTCCAAGAGCGCTGGTGCACCCCGACAGCCAGCATTCCCCACTTAGGTGACAGGCAGGGGGGGCAGGTGAGAGCACCGACCAGAGTGGGGGCACCAGGAGAACTGATCCCTGTGGCCACCCTGCAGCCAATCATGCTGACCAGTGGGGGTGTCATTCCCCCGCGGCTAATCACGCTGACCTGGAAGTGCCAGCGCAATCAGCCACGGAGGGTCCCTCTCCCCAGTCGCTGACTGGCTGCTGTGGGGACAAGTGCCCCCCCTGACTCAGAAGGCAACAGTTGCTCATATCTGTCCTCCAGACTGACTTGTTAGTCTGCAAACAAATCTCAATTCCCTTGCTGAACAGTACCCATCCATGCAGAGCAGCATATGGCACTCCCTTTCCAGCACTAATCACCCCCTCCCTCCTTTCTCCCCTGCCTTCCCCCAACTACTGGACATCACAGCATCCATACTCTACCTCATTACCCCAGAATCCACATAACAATCCCAGACTTCTACTAGCATCTCCCCATTGTCTACTCAAACACCTCCAGGCATCTACCATCCCCCTAACCCACCATGCAGAAGGCAGGGCAGGGTAGCACTTTAGAGATT